CAAATCCCCATGGCAGTGAAGGACGGAAAAGCATCAAAATTGCGCCCAAAAACTCCCTAATGTAACTTCTGAAACCTAGAGAAAATGAACTATTTATTTTAACTACTTTTTCCTCCTGTTTCCTCCTGTTTCCTCTTGCTGCTGCTCCTGCTCCTGCTAGTCCTTCTGTTCAAAAAGGCATCTTCAAAAGGCAATCGCCTAAAATCGAACCAGTCCCAGCCCAAAAACTCCCTACTGTAACTTCTGAAACCTAGAAAAAATTAGCTATTTTAGCTACTTTTTCCTCCTGTTTCCTCCTGTTTCCTCCTGCTGCTGCTCCTGCTCCTACTACCTGCTATTCCTTCTATTCAAAAGGGCATCTTCAAAAGGCAGTCGCCTAAAACCGAACCACTCCCAGCGGCAAATCCCCATGGCAGTGAAGGACGGAAAAGCATCAAAATTGCGCCCAAAAACTCCCTAAGGTAACTTCTGAAACCTAGAGAAAATGAGCTATTTTAGCTACTTTTTCCTCCTGTTTCCTCCTGTTTCCTCCTGTTTCCTCTTGCTGCTGCTCCTGCTCCTGCTAGTCCTTCTGTTCAAAAAGGCATCTTCAAAAGGCAATCGCCTAAAATCGAACCACTCCCAGCGGCAAATCCCCATGGCAGTGAAGGACGGAAAAGCATCAGAATTGCGCCCAAACACTCCCTAATGTAACTTCTGAAACCTAGAGAAAATGAGCTATTTTAGCTACTTTTTCCTCCTGTTTCCTCCTGCTGCTGCTCCTGCTCCTGCTACCTGCTATTCCTTCTATTCAAAAGGGCATCTTCAAAAGGCAGTCGCCTAAAACCGAACCACTCCCAGCGGCAAATCCCCATGGCAGCGAAGGACGGAAAAGCATCAAAATTGCGCCCAAAAACTCCCTAATGTAACTTCTGAAACCTAGAGAAAATGATGAGCTATTTTAGCTACTTTTTCCTCCTGTTTCCTCCTGTTTCCTCCTGCTTCCTCTTGCTGCTGCTCCTGCTCCTGCTAGTCCTTCTGTTCAAAAAGGCATCTTCAAAAGGCAATCGCCTAAAATCGAACCACTCCCAGCGGCAAATCCCCATGGCAGTAAAGGACGGAAAAGCATCAAAATTGCGCCCAAAAACTCCCTAATGTAACTTCTGAAACCTAGAAAAAATTAGCTATTTTAGCTTCTTTTTCCTCCTGTTTCCGCCTGTTTCCTCCTGCTGCTGCTCCTGCTCCTGCTACCTGCTATTACTTCTGTTCAAAATGGCATCTTCAAAAGGCAGGCGCCTAAAATCGAACCACTCCCAGCGGCAAATCCCCATGGCAGTGAAGGACGGAAAAGCATCAAAATTGCGCCCAAAAACTCCCTAATGTAACTTCTGAAACCTAGAGAAAATGAGCTATTCTAGCTACTTTTTCCTCCTGTTTCCTCCTGTTTCCTCCTGCTGCTGCTCCTGCTACCTGCTATTCCTTCTATTCAAAAGGGCATCTTCAAAAGGCAGTCGCCTAAAATCGAACCACTCCCAGCGGCAAATCCCCATGGCAGTGAAGGACGGAAAAGCATCAGAATTGCGCCCAAACACTCCCTAATGTAACTTCTGAAACCTAGAGAAAATGAGCTATTTTAGCTACTTTTTCCTCCTGTTTCCTCCTGTTTCCTCCTGCTGCTGCTCCTGCTCCTGCTAGTCTCTTTCAAAAAGGCATCTTCAAAAGGCAGTCGCCTAAAACCGAACCACTCCCAGCGGCAAATCCCCATGGCAGTGAAGGACGGAAAAGCATCAAAATTGCGCCCAAAAACTCCCTAATGTAACTTCTGAAACCTAGAGAAAAGGATGATTTTAGCTGCCTCTGCTGGTGTCTGCTGCTGCCTGCTGCTGCCTGCTGCTACCTGCTGCTGCCTGCTGCTGCCTGCCTGCTGCTCCCTGCTGCTGCTGGTGCTGCTGCTGCTGCTGCTGTGGTGCTGCTGCAATCAAACAGCCTCCAAAGCAAGAAACAAACAGCCAGACACCCTTTTCGAAACACATCCGAAACAGCAAAACACCACCTAATTTCGTGCCCAAAACGTAGCAAAGGAACCCCAAAAAGGGCCTAACGTCACTTCTGAAACCCTACTATAAAATTGCAACTTTGCCGCTGCCTGCCGCTGCCTGCTGCTGCTTGCTGCTGCCTGCTGCTGCCTCTGCTGGTGTCTGCTGTGCCGCTGCCTGCTGCTGCCTCTGCTGGTGTTTGCTGCTGCCTGCTGCTGCCTGCTGCTGCCTGCAGCTGCCTGCGGCTGCCTGCGGCTGCCTGCCTGCTGCTCCCTGCTGCTGCCTGCTGCTGGTGCTGCTGCTGGTGGCTGCTGCTGCTGCTGCTGTGGTGTTGCTGTGGTGCTGCTGCAATCAAACAGCCTCCAAAGCAAGAAACAAACAGCCAGACATCCTTTTCGAAACACATCCGAAACAGCAAAACACTACCTAATTTCGTGCCCAAAACGTAGCAAAGGAACCCCAAAAAAGGGCCTAACGTCACGTCTGAAACCCTACTTAAAATTGCAACTTTGCCGCTGCCTGCTGCTGCCTGCCGCTGCCTGCCGCTGCCTGCCGCTGCCTGCCGCTGCCTGCTGCTGCCTCTGCTGGTGTCTGCTGCTGCCTGCTGCTGCCTGCTGCTGCCTGCTGCTGCCTGCTGCTACCTGCTCCTGCCTGCTGCTGCCTGCCCGCTGCTCCTTGCTGCTGCCTGCTGCTGGTGGCTGCTGCTGCTGCTGTGGTGCTGCTGCAATCAAACAGCCTCCAAAGCAAGAAACAAACAGCCAGACACCCTTTTGGAAACACATCCGAAACAGCAAAACACCACCTAATTTCGTGCCCAAAACGTAGCAAAGGAACCCCAAAAAAGGGCCTAACGTCACTTCTGAAACCCTACTTGAAATTGCAACTTTGCCGCTGCCTGCCGCTGCCTGCTGCTGCCTGCTGCTGCCTGCTGCTGCCTGCTGCTGCCTGCCTGCTGCTCCCTGCTGCTGCCTCTGCTGGTGTCTGCTGGTGTCTGCTGCTGCCTGCTGCTGCCTGCTGCTGCCTGCTGCTGCCTGCTGTGCTGCCTGCTGCTGCCTGCCTGCTGCTGCCTGCTGCTGGTGCTGCTGCTGCTGGTGGCTGGCTGCTGCTGCTGCTGTGGTGCTGCTGCAATCAAACAGCCTCCAAAGCAAGAAACAAACAGCCAGGCACCCTTTTCGAAACACATCCGAAACAGCAAAACACCACCTAATTTCGTGCCCAAAACGTAGCAAAGGAATCCCAAAAAAGAACCTAACGTCACTTCTGAAACCCTACTATAAAATTGCAACTTTGCCGCTGCCTGCTGCTGCTTGCTGCTGCCTGCTGCTGCCTCTGCTGGTGTCTGCTGTGCCGCTGCCTGCTGCTGCCTCTGCTGGTGTCTGCTGCTGCCTGCTGCTGCCTGCTGCTGCCTGCAGCTGCCTGCGGCTGCCTGCGGCTGCCTGCGGCTGCTGCCTGCTGCTCCCTGCTGCTGCCTGCTGCTGGTGCTGCTGCTGGTGGCTGCTGCTGCTGCTGCTGTGGTGCTGCTGTGGTGCTGCTGCAATCAAACAGCCTCCAAAGCAAGAAACAAACAGCCAGACACCCTTTTCGAAACACATCCGAAACAGCAAAACACCACCTAATTTCGTGCCCAAAACGTAGCAAAGGAACCCCAAAAAAGGGCCTAACGTCACTTCTGAAACCCTACTTAAAATTGCAACTTTGCCGCTGCCTGCCGCTGCCTGCCGCTGCCTGCTGCCTGCTGGTGTCTGCTGCTGCCTGCTGCTGCCTGCTGCTACCTGCTGCTGCCTGCTGCTGCCTGCCTGCTGCTCCTTGCTGCTGCCTGCTGCTGGTGCTGCTGCTGGTGGCTGCTGCTGCTGCTGTGGTGCTGCTGCAATCAAACAGCCTCCAAAGCAAGAAACAAACAGCCAGACACCCTTTTCGAAACACATCCGAAACAGCAAAACACCACCTATTCTTGTTCTTGTTGTTGTTGTTGTTGTTGTTGCTGTTGCTGTTGCTGTTGCTCTTGCTGTTGCTGCCATAAAATAAAATTAAAATAGAATCCTGTTGCCTGCTGCCTGCTGCTGCCTGCTGCTCCTGCCTGCTGCTGGCTGCTGCCTGCTCCTGCCTGCTGCTGGCTGTTGCTGGCTGCTGCTGGCTGCTGCTGGCTGCTGCTGGCTGCCGCTGGCTGCTGCTGGCTGCCTAACGCCGGCTGCTGCTGGTTGCTGCTGCCGGATGCTGCCTGCCAGACACCTACTGCTGCCTGCTGCTGGCTGCTGCTGGCTGGTGCGGGCTGCTGCTGGCTGCTGCTGGCTGCTACCTGCTGCCTGCTGCCTGCTGCTGTCTGCTGCTAGCCTGGTAGTAAAAGTAGCAGTGCAGTACCTCTTCTTCCCTTACGCGCTCCCCCTTGCATCGGCCGGGGTCAGTGAATTATTATTATTCTTTCCTGGCAGCTGTATGCTCCCCCTTGCATCGGCCGGGGTCAGCGAATTATTATTATTCTTTCCTGGCAGCTGTGTCATAAACTCTTTTTCCCTTACGCACTCCCCCTTGCGTCTGCCGGGGTCGGCGGATATATAGACATAGATTTATATACACTATACAGATAAAGGGGCTTCAATCGTCTTCCACACTTTGCCATTTCTGCTCTTTCAGTGCTGTCCGACTGTCCAGCGCTTTTGATTCAGCTTCCAGGAGTGCCACAGGGTCCAAGTTCCTAGCTGTTGACTCAGCTGCCAGTACATATAAAGAATGATATTTTTTTCGTTATTATGTTATTATTATCATATTATGAACCATAATAACAGTAACCATAGTGAAAAATACTCATACCTACCTACCTACAGACCTACACTATCAGATCATATCATATAAACGCCTTGTGATTTGGGGAACCCCCCAAGCATCGAAATCAATGAGCGCCGGGGATCCGTGGCAGAGCGGCAGTGCCCGGCAGTGCCCGGCAGGATGTCTTTCTACCGAGCTCTCTCCAAGTCGCTGCTGCGCACCATGGCAGCCGAGCGCGCGGTGGTGCCCTGGCCTGGGAGCCCAGAGGAGCCATGGGAAAAACCATGGGAAAACGATGGGAAGACATGGGAAAAACATGGGAAAAACATGGGAAAACTGGGGAAACTGTGGATGATGATCCGGTTTTCATGGCCGCACTCTTGATGGCGATGGCAATGTGAAAATGATGATCCATTAGGAATCAATTTTTTTGGGGGGTGTATTTCTGACAAAGCCACATTCTGTGCTGCTGGCAGCCACCTGCAGCTAGTTTTTGGACCCTGCTGAGGTACCATCAGGAGATGCAAATGACGCCCTTCGAGCAGTTCTGCAAGGAGAGGGGACTTGGATGGACTTGGACGATTGATGACGCCAATTGCAGAGGCCATGCACTTTTTCCATCTACCAACTGTCAAGTATTGATTCAAAGTTCATGGAAATCTGGCTGGCTGTTGCAGTTTCAGGCCAACATCTACCCCTTGTGGTTTAAGTATGTCAAGGGACCCTTCGAGCGCTACCAGCCGTTACCTTAGGCGGCGATAACGTTATCGCTTCTTTCTACTTGCAAGGATGGATCTGAACATTGATTTCTTCTGATTTCTTGATGTTTTTTTTTTGTTGTGTGTGTGTGTGTTACAGAAGCCTACGGCCTACTTTTCTCGGGTGAAAAGTGATCAAAGCATATCAAAGCCAAATGTCCGAAGTGTTATCGTTTCGCTCCTATTTATTCATGCGATTTTCTATTGATATTTTGTGGATCAAGCTGGCTATTCAGCCCCCACCGGTGTTGCACGTCCTTCATTCGATGGCGTGTTCTGAGGTATGAGCACATGATCGCTGAGTTGCGTGGCCATGGATTGATGCTGGACAGCGACCCGAGATGATGAGCAGTGTGTAGCAGCTGGGTAGCTGGATCCATCGAACCACATCTTCAGAGAAAACTTGAACTTCAGGGGATGTGGACAGTGGACATCTTGTGACAAAAAAGAACCTTAGGCCTATTGGAAGATATTGGAAGTATCCAAACAAAGATTGGATGTAGCTTCGATTGGTCTTTGCAGCTCCAAAATGGTTCCGCGTCTTCCTAGTTCTAGTGGCAAATGGGTCACCATCTTGGCAAACTTTCATCCACAGTTTGCCATTCACAGGATGACCAGCTCAACGACAAGGACTCCAGGGCGGGTTCTATAAAGACAAAGTCTAATAATTTTCCCGTAAAAAAAAACTGTGAACAGCAGAATGGGTGAATAGAACTGTATCTGAAAAAACAGAAACTCAATAACTTGAGTTTCCAAATGACTACAGTAGTCCAAATTTACCCAACTGAATGGCATTGAATGGCTAATTTCTTCACCTTTTTCGCCGGAGGAGCCCGTCATCGAGCGAGCTCTGGAGCTGCTTCCACACGACCTTATCGTGGGCCGCTACCGTCGTTTGATGAGGGTCGCTGCCTCGAATGGATGGTGTGCAGAATCTTCAAAGGACGACCAGCTCCAAAACAAAATAAAGCAATATATAACATATGTAACATAACACATGTAACACACACATATATATATACATCATGTTGTTAATGTTGTTGTATTTTGCCACGGCGGCCATAGATTTTTCTTCATTTGCCCAAGGCACAGGAGATGATGGCGAAGAAGTTGCACTTGCCCTTGGCTGAGCAGCAGGGGGACCTGGGGGGATCCCTTGCTTTAGCTGTTTAGCTATGGGTCATTAAAATCCTGGGCATGGGTAAATCATGGAACTCAAATGGGCTAAAACTGTGGAACATATTGAACATATGTCTGTGAAATTATTTCATGGAGGTTATTTTTGGACAAGTCTCGGTCTTTCACCGCTATTTAGCGGTAAAAACCAGCTGGTGTCCTGAAGATATTTTCCAACCAGGTGACCAATCCATTCAAGGGAAGATGTGTGGTCAGTCAGTTCCATGGTATCCAGGAATTGGTGGAGCAATCTATAGGATGGTAGGGGAAGATCTGGAAAAATCGTAGTCTTTAATGTTTAAAGACTTATTTCTATAGATAATCTGTGATAGTCTAGATACATAGATAATCTATAGTTGATTCAGAAAAAGACATCCAATGTCCTGGCAGTGTCTCAGGTACCTTTTCCTTTACCTATTTCTCCCGAGACTGTCTCGGGAGTGGAGCTATGGATTCATTTCTGGTCGAATTGGCTTGCCTTCGCTGAGGAACTATGATCCAATGATCCCATACATGGTCCTAACCTTGGAAACGCTCCCGAGTTGTCCCGAGTTGTCCCGAGTTGTCCCGAGTTGTTGCAGTATGCAGAGTTGTTGCAGAGAACTTGTACATTGAAATACATTGTTTTGCAGTATGCTCTGCAGGCACCTTCCATTGAAGAGGCCAAGTTCCAGCTGCAAGAAGAGCAAGAACTTCTGCAGTTCGGGACCTACGGCGTAGTACGGTGTTTTGTTTTTTGGGTTTCCATATGGGTTTTCCCTATCTCAGAGAAGTTGCTGAGCTGATTTGACATGATTTGAGGTTCCACCCTTGGGATCGGCGTTTGTTCTCCGGACATACCACTGGCTTGGGTGAATCTACACCCTACTCCACCTTCATGACTTGGTGAGTGGCGCCATTTTTTGAACGGATGATTTGCAAAGAGTCGCCATTGAATTGATGATTAAACACACAGTGTGATGAATATGTGGTTGAGACACCATAAGATCAGCAAATCCACCTAAGATTGCAAACAAACTCAAGTCAGTTTATGAGGTGTTGTTTCTTCTCTATGAGACATTGCTTGAGACACTAGGAAGGACCTTGGACAATAGGGCCCTCTGAGGGCTGCCGATGCTTGAAAAGCACAGGCGCAAGGTCTACTTCATTCGTCATTGGGTGATACGATGTCCTTCGCGCATCGCCGGTGATTGAATGGAAAAGGTCCAATTGAGGCTGTATTGGATTTGTATCAACTTCATATCAAGACCTAAGCTGTTTGAGCGAAATACGGCCGCGAGCGAAAAAGGGAGAAAGGTAAAGAAATGGGTTGGTGCAGCCTGCAGCCTGGGATTCATTTTGGTAGTGGTTGTGGTATGTTGTGGTAACTGAGCAGACTCCAGAGATGCGACTGTTATTGGGTCGTTATTCATTTCAAGGCACTGATCATGATTCCAAACATGTGCCAGGCCCCCCATTGGTGAGCCTTCAATAGCCTTGCTGTCTACAACCCGACAGGTCTGAGAGGCGTACCCTTGGCGACCGCGAGGACCCAAGGTTCGGAAGCCTGGTAGAAGTCCCCTTGGAGAAATCGATGTGGCTGGATGTGGGTCAGGCTGGCCAAATTGGCTTTCAATGCCGGGAATTTGAGTGCACTTGATCTACTGAATGTTCGGTGCTCAGAATGGCCGGACCTGCGAAGTTGAGATTTCCCTATGCTGGGTGTTCAAGGCTGGAAGCGGACAATGGCAGGTGCAGTTCTCATCAGTTCTCAAGTTGGGTGTGCTCTGAGTCATTCTGAGTCCATAGTGCCATGGTCATCCACAGTCACTTGGTCACTTGGCTGAGGTGCGCACAGTGAAGCGTGGCTGGGCCACTTTGGCACCTGCGTTGCAGGCAGATTTTCTTCGGCTATAGCTACAACATGCTATAACTATTTGCAAAGCAACGTCATTTCCCAGGAAATACATGGAAATACCTGGAAATACCATGAAATGCCACAATGACGTATCCAGCCATATGCAAATTTGATTTGCAGCCCCTAAAACATGCGTGAGGCGGCTTTGACTCAAGCGATGTCGCAGATCGAGGTGGGTCTTTTTTCTTATCGCAATTTCGACGCGCAAGATTGTGCTGTTGCACAGGATCGAGTGGAGATCCTGATTGACCCTGACACCAGGCCAGATTATTTAGCCGGACAAACTAAACGAAATCTGATATCATATCATTGATGATAATAAGAACAGTTATGGAAACTAGTAGTGTAGGAACTTTTATTTGTTCATTTCTTTGTTCATTGGATTTGATATAGACAATTAAAAGAATATGATAGATATAGATATATCATAAATATTCTATGATATATCTATAGATATCTATAGATATCCTGTTGACGCCCACTTTTTTTTTCCGGCCGGTGCCGGTGCCGTGACCTTTCAGGACCTGGGTGCGTGATGTTCACCACGTGGACGCGGTGCCCTTTTAAGCGCTTGGGGATGGTCCAGGTCAGGTCACCCCAAAAAGTCGGGAAGGTATTTTCCATATTGATTTTCCATGATTTTCCATGATTTTCTATGATTTTCTATGATTTTCTATGATTTTCTATGATTTTCTATGAATTTCTATGATTTTCTATGATTTTCTATGAATTTCTATGAATTTCTATGAATTTCTATGAATTTCTATGAATTTCTATGAATTTCTATGATTTTCTATGAATTTCTATGATTTTCTATGATTTTCTATGAATTTCTATGATTTTCTATGATTTTCTATGATTTTCTATGATTTTCTATGATTTTCTATGATTTTCCATGAATTTCTATGAATTTCTATGATTTTCTATGATTTTCTATGAATTTCTATGATTTTCCATGAATTTCTATGATTTTCTATGATTTTCTATGATTTTCTATGATTTTCTATGATTTTCTATGATTTTCTATGAATTTCTATGATTTTCTATGAAATTCTATGATTTTCTATGATTTTCTATGATTTTCTATGATTTTCTATGATTTTCTATGAATTTCTATGATTTTCTATGAATTTCTATGGTTTTCTATGATTTTCTATGAATTTCTATGATTTTCTATGATTTTCTATGATTTTCTATGATTTTCTATGATTTTCTATGATTTTCTATGATTTTCCATGAATTTCTATGAATTTCTATGATTTTCTATGATTTTCTATGAATTTCTATGATTTTCCATGAATTTCTATGATTTTCTATGATTTTCTATGATTTTCTATGATTTTCTATGATTTTCTATGATTTTCTATGATTTTCTATGATTTTCTATGATTTTCCATGAATTTCTATGAATTTCTATGATTTTCTATGATTTTCTATGAATTTCTATGATTTTCTATGAATTTCTATGATTTTCTATGATTTTCTATGATTTTCTATGATTTTCTATGATTTTCTATGATTTTCTATGATTTTCTATGATTTTCTATGATTTTCTATGAATTTCTATGATTTTCTATGATTTTCTATGAATTTCTATGATTTTCTATGAATTTCTATGAATTTCTATGACATCAGCATCATCGTACTGTACCATTTGTATCCATTTGTTGTGTCCTAACAATCATGATCCCTCCAATTCTTCAGGCCATGGTACCTCCACTGGAAGACCCTCAGGTCTCAAAAGCTAGGGATTTTTTGGGAGTGTCACGTCCCGAGATCTGAATGTCATACCACGATGGTCAACACATAAGTACACAGAAGTTATTTTGCCATGCCAGTGGATTGTGCTGCTATAAATAGGGGTTGGTGTTTTGGAACATGGCTTTTATTTTTCCATATATTGGGAAGAATATCATCCCAACTGACGAAGTCATATTTTTCAGAGGGGTTGAAACCAGTAACCAGATAGGGGTTGATCACTGGGGAACTGGCTTCGAGGCCACGAGGGCCCGCTGCCAGGTCTACGAGGCGTTGATGGGCGATTTATAAGCCATGAACCTCATTTATTTGATTTGATTGATTTATGTATATTTTTGTAATTTATGGTCTCTTGGACTATATAGATGTTTTTTTGGGTTTAAACTGGTGGTTTATGGACTATAGACATAGATGTTTCTAGTGCCCTAGACACCAACTACGCAACTAGCAGCTGGATTCATGGATCTCTTCAATTGTCTGGAATACACAAGGCGATGCATCCAGGTTGTTGGGATCTTCGAGCATAGCTTCCAAAAAATGCATCAGAGCCTGCAAAAGCGAGGCCTTTCCGATCGACCGCAAGATGGGGAAGGCATGCCCTGCTGTGTGTGACTGGACATAGAAAAGCTATACAAAATGACGCTGCCGCTTTACTAAAACTGGAAACAACCAGAATATCAGAATCTCATAGAATCTCCTCAGAAAATCCGACTGATTCCACTCGGTCTTGCAACATACTTCGTTGACTGATAATTATCGAATACTATCGACAGCCAGGTTGGTGGAGAAGCTCCCAGAGCTCTCAGATGGCGTGCAGGAGCCGAACCAATTAAATTACATTAAATTACTTGACATTTACAATAAAATAATCAAATAAACATTGAATTATTAAATTATTATAA